CTTCCCATCCTCCAGTAGCTCCTCAAGTTCAGAGCTTAGGCTCCCGAAAACCTGCAGTTGGTGAACGGCCACAGGAAGCCCACACAGAGGCCCAGGGGAGGTGCCGCGCTGGTTCTCGGAGCAGAACTGGCTCGTCTCTAACTGGGCAGGAACAGGAGCTGTCACTGGAGGTCCATCTTGTCCTGCTGCAGGGATGCCACGAACACCTGGAATTCCTCAGGGTAGAAGCGCTTGTAGACGGCAATCTTCCTCTTGATCTGCTTGGGGGTGTCCTGGTAATAGTTCTGCTCATCCCGAGCCATCGCCTGGGGCAGAGGGAAGGGGGAGGCCATCAGAGCCACCGCTGCCTGGGACCAGGGAGAGCAAACCCGCCGGAAAAGAAGCCCATGCCGTGAGCAAGCACTGAGCCCGGCCAGCCACAGGGCTGGCTGCACTCCCGCTCCCCAGGCGTGGTCGAGTCCTGTGCTGCCGAGTCAGCGGGGGACTGGGCTACAGACCAGGAAGCACCGGCCAGGCTGAGGAGGAGCAGCCGCTCGCACACGCTCTTAGGCAATTCGTGGGGTGTTCGGTGCCCGCCTTTCCCCCCATCCCGCTACGCCCCACAGACCCACCTTGTAGTTCTCGCCATGGTTGCGTATCATGTGCTGCACGTAGTCGATGAGGTCCTTGGAAAGCGTCTGCGACTTCTTCTCCGGGAGGCTAGCCTCGTGCTCCAGCTCTGCGTAGCACCCGCACGCCGTGAGGCAGGGCGCCGAGCCAAGCCAGGCCACCCAGCACCCAGGCCCAGCGCAACCTGGAGACTGAGCCACAGCCCCGGGGAGCCAGGGCGGCAGCTCTGCCCCTCCCGTGCCCCTTCCCTTCCCAGCCTGGCCAGCTCCGCGCTCGGGGACAAGAGCGGGCAGGGATGCGGGGACACGGGGCAGGTTTCGTGCAAAGGGGTCTGCCCGAGCCGAGCCGGCCGCGGGCTGCAAGCATCCCAGCCAGGCGGCACCTACCGTTCAGCACGTACGGCTTCCGCACGACCGGCTTCCCCCCCTCGCGCCCGTCAACCTCCATGTCTGTCGGCTGCATCGGACGAGAGAGGAGGCCGCTCAGGACGGCTCCATCCAACGCGCGGCTTCAGCGGCCGCTTGCGCCCAGACCGAGCAGGGAGCCCGCCCCGCCCTGCCCCGCTCACCCGCGGCCCCCTCTTCCGGATGGGCACGGCCTTGTTGGGGTCGGCCGCCAGGCCCATCTCGGCCAGGTTCTGCGACACGGACTTGCTCCTGTCCCAGGCATGGCGGATCTGGGCGCTGCGGGGAGAGGCGAGATGAGGTGAGGGGGGAGAGGCTCGTCGCCCCAGGGGCTGCCACCCTCCCTCCACCCCCGGCAGGTGAGAGCGGA